ATTTTTTTAATTGATGAATTAAATTATGGATATGTATAATAATCAAGGAACCAAAAATTAAAGGTTTAACTAAAAATATAATAAATATGCATTGAAAACAAAGAAAAATTTATTTTAAAAAATCTATTTTTTTATAAGATTTTTTTTTATATTGGTTATAAAAAAAAAGTAGTTCTTTCCCATTTTTTATATCACCCAGTAACGTAATTTGAATTTAAAATTTTTTACTTGTAATTAAAACAAATTACTATTGAACTATTTAAGTTTTCAAGTTTTTAGTATTTTTTTTATAAGATTTTTTTTTTTATGTTGGTTATACAAAAAGAAGTAGCTCTTTTTCATTCTTTATGTCACCCAGTAACATAATTTAAATTTAAAATTTTTTACCTGTAATTAAAACAAATTACTATTGAAATTTTTAAGTTTTCAAGTTTTTAGTATTTTTTTTATAAGATTAAAATCAAAACAATATGACAAATTTACACCATGGGCGTGGAAATGAAGCTCATGTTTTAGATTCCACGTCCCTCCGGCGTATAACCATTGACTTGACCTTCTCAAAATATACTTTTCAAATATTCATAATAATTTTTTTTTCTTTAATTTGATTCTCCCTCTTCGCTCCCTTCTCTGCTGCTTCATGGCTTCTCTCCGCGCTTGAAGGACTCCAAAGAATAACAAATCCTTCCTTCTTATTCCGAAACCCTAGATTTTCCACCTTCACTTAATCCCACAGCGCCATGGTCCGGAGATCGATGCCGATTCTGAAACGGTTCCTCACATCTCCCGCCTTCAACCTTACTTCGACGCGATCCGTCACTTACATGCCTAGACCTGGAGATGGAGCCCCTCGTGCCGTCACCTTGATTCCTGGGGATGGGATCGGGCCGCTGGTGACCGGGGCGGTGGAGCAGGTGATGGAGGCTATGCATGCTCCTGTGTACTTCGAGCGGTACGATGTGCACGGTGACATGAAGCGCGTGCCGCAAGAGGTGATTGACTCGGTTAAGAAGAATAAGGTGTGTTTGAAAGGAGGATTGGCGACGCCGATGGGAGGAGGTGTGAGTTCGCTGAACGTTCAGTTGCGGAAGGAGCTAGATTTGTACGCCTCGCTTGTGAATTGCTTCAATCTGCCTGGTTTGCCTACCAGGCACCAGAATGTGGATATTGTGGTGATCAGGGAGAATACGGAGGGAGAGTACTCCGGCCTCGAGCATGAGGTGGTTCCTGGAGTCGTGGAGAGCCTTAAGGTACCTTCCCTCATCGATCCCTTTCTTTAACTTTTCTTCATCTTTCTTATAAATCTGTATCTTCAATGTTGAATAGCTTGAATTGTTATTTTTTGGCCTCATACTATCGAATTGTTAGGTGATTACAAAGTTCTGTTCCGAGCGGATTGCAAAGTATGCTTTCGAGTATGCCTACCTCAACAACAGAAAGAAAGTGACTGCTGTACACAAAGCCAACATCATGAAGCTTGCAGATGGTCTGTTCTTAGAATCCTGTCGGGAGGTCGCAACAAAGTATCCAGGAATCAAGTACAA